CCTTCTCACGCTCCCCCTCTCCCCACATGTATGGATTCTTGGGAATCTATATTCCCAGCGTCAGAGGCGAGAAGGTTTGCAGAGGACCATGGAAGGGGTGGGGGTATTTTGTGATGCTGTTAAATTCATGGCAGGGAAAGAGACCATAGTTTTTCTTAGTTTTTCACCATCAAATGTTTCATAATCGAGATTAACTCTACATGCATGGGAACCTTTCTATTCAACCCTCTGTGGCTAAGGTCTAATACAATGACTGAAACATACCAGGTGCTCCATCAATGTTTGTTGAATGAATGAATCAATAAGCTAGCATTAAAACCCACAAAACTATAAAATTGTTGTTTAGACTCAAACACATTTTAAAAGTATTACTTCCATACATATTTCTTTGGGAAGAAAAGGGGGACTTACTTTTGAACTCTCCTTTTTAATAGAACTCTACATGTATAATTGTTTAAGGATGATTCTTATAGTTCACAGATCAGTGATTACTGCTTGGTTATATGACAAAACCAGCCAAATTCAGACAAGGTTCATTTAAAGGATCCAAGCATGTAATTAGTCTGTGAGGGCTTACTTGCTAATTGCTGTGTTGGAAGAATCAGGAAGTAGATTATATAAATTAAGAGAAAAGAATCAGAACTCTTAATTTTGTTCCCGTCTCTTCACTTCTACTGAAGTATAGTTTTTAGGTAGATGAAATATTCTTGTGGTGAAAAAATCTATGTAGAGCAATATCTACAGTCTGTTCCCTTCCTCAGCCTTGGATCCCAGTCTCTTAGTTCTCCTTAGGTCCAGAGGGGTCACTGTGACTCAGACGGTAAAGAATCTACCTGCAATGCGGGAAACCCAGGTTTGATCCCTGGGTCAGGAAGATCCACTGGAGAGGGAAATAGCAACCCACTCCAGTATTCTTGCCTGGAGAAATCCATGGACAGAGGAGCCTGGTGGGCTACAGTCCGTGGGGTTGCAAAGAATCGGACATGACTGAGCGACTAACACTTTCACTTTAGGTCCAGAGGCAAAGGTTTCTTTCGAATGCTTTCAGAGGTGTTTTTTATGTAAACAAGAATATAAGTATTTGTATACCCCTCTTTTTATTTAAATGGTGTATTATTTCAGACTTGCTGCATCTCATTTTTTCACTAATAATATATCTTGGACATCATTTTATATAAACACATGAAGCTAGATCTGTTTTTTCCCCAGTGGCTGCATAGCTGTTTGTAGATGTAGCAGAATTATTTATCTACTTTCCTATTGATGGATTTTTTGGTAGTTTTCATTCTTCCCTACTGCCATGCTACAAAGAATAAGTTTGTACCTAATTTTTTTGAAGTGGATATATAATTTTAATCCCTACTTTGTTCTGTTGCAGAAAACCTGATTTAAAATTCTAAACCACCTGCAAAATCAAATCCCAAACTTCCATCCTTTTAGGAGAAAGGAATGGGTATCAGGGCATTACTTCAGTTTTCACATGCCAAGCTCAGAAAATTTTCACTTGATGATAACTCCTGGAAATACTAGGCATCAGCATCATTTAACCACCAGTTTCTAAAAAGCTGAGGGAAAAATTTCTATTAAATGTCATAATAAAATAATTGTGTTATTGTTCAGACACTAAGTCATGTTCGCCTCTTTTGTGACCCCATGGACTGTAGCTCACCAAGTTCCTCTGTCTATGGGATTTTCCAGGCAAGAATACTGGAGTGGGTTGCTATTTCTGCCTCCAGAGGATCTTCCTGACCCAGGGATCAAACTTGTGTCTTCTGCATTGGCAGGCGGATTCTTTACCACTGAGCCACCAAGAAAGCCCAAAATAATCATACTTGGGGTATTATGATGATATTTGACAATAGCGTTTTCTATCTGTGTAATACTCAGACCAAAACTTGTTTTTACCTTTGACTTTCACACTGAAAACTGTTCATTTATTTATTGTGTACTTTATTCTTTCAACAGTGTAGAAGAAAGTTTCAAGACTTTGTTTTGGTCAATATTTGGACTGTCTGAAGTCACTTCTGTTGTGCTCAAGTATGATCACAAATTCATAGAGAATATAGGATATGTTCTATATGGAATATATAATGTAACTATGGTCGTTGTTTTACTCAACATGCTCATTGCTATGATTAATAGCTCATATCAAGAGATTGAGGTAAGCCTGCTTTCTACCCGCAGTGTCTGTCCTTACCATTTCATTCTACTAGCACACCGCGTCTGCTTTTGTGTCCCATGGCGGACATCCTGTCCTTGTCTACAAAGAGCCTTAACACCAAGCAGGACCCTGCTCTGTGCTTTCCATCTGGATAGGGGGTAATGCACCTTCCCGTCTTCAGGAGCACAGTGGAGTTCCCATGAATTTACCATTACACTGCCTTCTCTCGGGACCGTCTGGAAGATCCTGGTAGAGGACTTACTAGACATCTCTCAGACGTTAATGATGTTCTTTATGCAGTCAGACTTTTTAGTATTCTAGAAATCTATTTTTGCTATGGATTGAGCTTGATTTGGTACCTTTCTTCATCACTGTGTATNGGGGCAAGAAAAAATTAATCTTTTCATCCTTCCTTGACCCTCAAGTTTTCTTGTGCTTTTTGCTTTGTTTTATTTTATTTTATTTCTGGATGGGGGACAGGAAATTCTGGTTAAATTTCAGTAGGTACAGACAGGAATATGGAAGAGAAACCTGAAAAAAAAAATGAGTATCATGAGAACGATGCTTAGAATATTATATAGCCCAATAGAGATTATATGCAGATAAATGTACATATGCCACTTTTTCTATTTCAAAGCATAATGTAGGTTCATTATAAGGCCCTACTGGAATAAATTACTAGAATCTTTAGTTTTTTAAATCAGTTGTCATATTTTTTCTATCTCTGTGACACAGGATGACAGTGATGTAGAATGGAAGTTTGCTCGCTCGAAACTTTGGTTATCTTACTTTGATGATGGAAAAACATTACCTCCACCCTTCAGTCTAGTTCCTAGTCCAAAGTCATTTGTTTATTTCATCATGCGGATCATTAACTTTTCCAAATGCAGAAGGAGAAGACTACAGAAGGATATAGAAATGGGAATTGGTAACTCAAAGTCCAGGGTAGGTATCAAAAGCTTGCTGAGACCTGAAGATAAGTGCTTTGTCTTTCTCCTTGTCTTTTGATGTTTGTTCAATGCGTGACCTTAGAAGATGTTGGAAGTAACTGTCCATTCCACAGTCCTTCATAGACTAATACTTAAAATATTCATATTTCAAGAAGTCACTTAGTCTATGCTTTGTTTTCAGTCAGAATTTCATGTAAACTACCAAAATAAAAACAAACAAAAAACTTCTTTAACTTGTTAAAAGTCACTGTCAGAAAATAGTTTGTATGTTTTCCATGCTTCTCAACTGTTATTCTAAGTTACATATTTCTCATCTTAAATTTTTCTGTTGGTTGTATATATAGTTCACCACCACCATATTCTTCTTATTTGTAGAAATCCATTATTGAGCTAAATAATCTTTGTTCCTTTAATATCATAAAATTTATGCAGGCTTAAGAACACCCTCAAATATTAACCATTAAAACTCCCTTTTATAAATAATCAAGAATGGCTTGTATTTGGGTTGTCCTGGCTGAGTCATACTTTAATTTTAACAAAGATGAGTTTCATGCTAGCACTTTATTATCATGAACTTTATTTTTAGAGATAGAATTGGCATAGGAGACGGAGGATATGGGCAGAATCTCAAATAATAGGTTGTGAAACAGGAGCAAATGTATGGGGTTAAAGAACAATTTTTCCTGAAAGTTGTGAAAATGGTCTGTAGCTGTAATAGCCTGGGAGCCCACGAGATAGCAGTGTTATCTCCATAAAGTGCATATTTTTTCTCAGTTGATGCTGAGCTAGTCCCACCTTAGCACAATTTAATTTCTTACTTTTTAAAAGCGATGTGCATTTCCGAGATTTGTAATACCCTGCATCTTATTCTTTAAGAAGGCAGCCTTTTAAACCTTCTTTGTTTGACCTAAATATGGGCTCTTAAGGATATTAAGTTGCATGACAGTGATTGGCTGTGACTTCAAATAATACCTCATTATACACAGTGAAAAG